GTACCAACCAAAGGTGAGATCGTTACGGACTGAAGCACCTGATAAAATGCTCATCAGCACATGCAAATGAGCGCTATAAAAATTGGTAAATTATTAAAATCATTATTATTATGTGTCAGTATCACTCCTTGTTATCCCTTCCTCTATTCAAATCCCATGATTCCAATTCTAAGTCAGTTAAAAAGTCAGTTTGAACAAAAGCTCATCTTCAAACCGGCAGTCTAAATCCTACAGGTATCAACGAATGCTTTTCATTCCACTAATTTATTCGTGTTTTTCTCGTTGCCATGTCCCCACCAATCACGTAGCTCCATTTTCTACCTTTAAAAGCACACACAACCCACAATTCCTCTATTCGCTCCGACGAAGGGCTAACGTTCGAAACGTCAGCTTTTATAATTGTAACGGTGGCCAATTTACCACTTCAACTTTGTTGATATATTGAAATTACTCAGTCAGTTAGACCACCATTGTACACAGGCACAGACATATCGGCAGATTGCTTCCGATAAGATTTGAAGAGAGCAGCGCAAGCGTGGGAAGTCTCAACAGAGACCACAGGGAGCCCATACAATATGTTTGTGTAGCCGACTGTTGTTTTATAGTGAATGTCTGAGTTCGTCGTTAATCTAAATTAACGACGAACTCAGACTTATTCAAAATCGCTCAAAAAATAAAAACACTTTTGAGGCAAAGGGACGACTTTACTCCACAGGTAAAGTAATTCAACGTTTATTTATCATTGATTTAAATACATAGTCAGCAATATATCACTATAGGTGAGGCAAACGGTAAATCTGGTACATTCACTATAAAACAACAGTCGGCTACACAAACATATTGTATGGGCCCCTTGTGTAGAGACTAAGAGAGAATTTGGGAATCATGGAAAACCCACGCATGTCACCCTTGAAAAGCTCTATAAGTGAATAAATACAGACAAATATTTCCCTCCTGCTACATCACCAAGCTGGATTTTAATAGCGCAGCGAACAGCTAGCCTCAATGACTTTCCCCAATCGACGACTGTCGAAATTTCCGAAGAATTTCCGAGGGTTACAGGGGTTATTTTAATGAAAACAAATATTCAGCCCCCCTGAACTTGACTAAAAGAGCTAAATTATAACTGACGATTGAAGCAGCAGTAAATCTCGGGTCTTATGACAATAATTGTTGTCTGGATTTCCATATAATTGATTAGCTAAGGTAAAAAAATCAAAGCCAGGATTAATGCAAATCTCAACATGATATTTGCATACGTCAATTTGAGAACTGAGGAAATGAAAAACTGAAAAGCTATCTATTTCTGAATATTTTTTCCGCAAAAGAAATATTTACACATCACGAGAATAACTCCATCAAGATAGTAGAACAGCAACAGCTCATGGTCAATCGAATCAAAATCCCAATAAAGAAGAATTTTCAATAAAAGTCTGTTGACGGCGGTCGCTTGCAAGACCTCTCACCGCGCGAGTTTAGTCTGCGAGCAGGATCTTGCGTTTTGATTTCACTTCACTCCACCAACCTATAACACCATCGGCAACTGCCTATAGAAAAAGTTAGTGAGCCCCTGAAAAAAAGATTTCGTTTTTCTGCCTAAACTTTCAGTGTCTTGAGTGTATTTAGAGCGGACGTTCTTGTGTATTCAAGACAATGAAGTTCGCCAATTAGCCTCCTCTGAGTATTTAATAAGAACAGTTGTGTCTTATGTATTTAAGTTGGAAAAGACAATAAAGCTCACCAAATCTTAGGGATCACGCATTTTCAAGAGAAACTCGATTTAGAGTCTTAGTATCACCCAAAAATTCGTCCGTAGAACTAGATGTCAGAGTGGCTATCATAACTTGAACAAGTGAAGATAAATTTAGCAAACTGGTGGACAAAACTGCTTAGGGTGGGTGGCACATGAGTTAGTTATTCCTTAATTCAAGTTTTGTTGCCCACAAATTGACAGGTCATGGGTGCTTTACGAAGTTGGCAATTTCTACGTCAGCGAATCAAGCACTGAAATTATTTTGCGCCAAAGGGTTGTTAGAGAATTTTGAATAAATCTGAAATCAAATGGGAAGGATCTCTCCTTTCAACGCGGGGGCAACACTTGCGAAGACAAAGCTTGTTACTTTTTCAACCTAAACCCTGGCCTTTTTCATCTCCAGTGTTATAAATCTTATTACGTTGCTGTTTTTATTGTCCGTATTTTTTAACAGCCATACCTTCCGTCAAACAAATTACGAGTTTCGCTACATGCGATTTGACTTATTTAATTTTCGTTATTTTGTGAGACGAAAACCGACTTGCTTCTAGTCAAACATAGATGCAATTATTCACTCGGTTTTTCTTAAATGCTCGTTTCAGGTCAGTTTTGGCTGTTTTATTTTCACTGTTACAATTACTTGATGTCTGCGTGAGATTTTTTTTGTTAAAGTACTGTTAAATTTTTAAAATAAGATTTGCGTCGAAAATTGGAGATCAAATGAAAGATGATTATGAGACCACCTGCTCGACATTCCGGCCGTCAGTCTACTCACAAACGAATCAAGTACAAGATTTTCGCGATTAAACTAAGTTTTTAGCAGTCATCGCGTCGTAACTTCACAGTTAAAAACAGGCCTCTTAATTCCTAAAATGATAAAACGTTAAGTCAAGTTAAAGGACTCGTTGTTTTAGAAAAACTATACACTTTCTCTACTGTGTATACATCGTGCAACACGATGGCGTGTCTAACACACGCAATATCTCGTTGCAAAAAAGCCGTTGGCATTCTTCTAATTGTATTATGCACAAATGGTGAAATAAAACAGACACTATAGACAATAGAAGTCTCCAATTAGAGATATAAATGAATTTTCGGCTGCTTGGGGCCGGGATAAAATTTTGCGATAATGTCCCCGGCAGCTTTTCTAAATTGGGCTTTATAAACAGTGTAAATAAATGGGTTGAAAGATGATTGTATAAATAAAAAGGTGAAACAAATTCTGAAAAATAAGGGACTCGATAGAATAGGATCTGGAGGGTCCACAATATAGCTAAAATTGTGCACAGTTTTTGGCAACCAACATACTACAAACGTCATTACAACAATAACGCACGATGTTGTTCCCTTCTTCAAACGGGAAATTTCTCTTAGGTCACTTTTATGTTGATCTGGTGAATGCGAAGCGGCGCACATCTTGGCAGCTTGTTCGTGTCTGTGAATTTTATGAATAATCTGAATATTTACAGTCACAATTCCAATCTGAAACAGAAGCACTGGGATTATAACGACAAATATGTCATACAACTTGACTTTAAGGTGGCGCTGTACGTCGTTGTCAGTTCTCTGATTCCATGCATTTCGTGTTGCAGCTACCACTGAGGGAATCAACCACACGGCTGTTAAAATTACCCCCACTCGCAGTCTGGTCATTTTGGCGCCATATTGCAACGGACGGAGAATGGCGAGGAAACGATCGTAAGTAATTGCGCAAATGTTGAGTGTAGTCGCCGCCAGTACGAAGTCTCGAGCCTTTCTTAAAAGCCAACAGTAAGTGGTCAAGGAATGAGGACAGTCTCGGAAACAGTGGACGGTGTAAAAGGGAATGACAAAAGCAGCCATCAGGACGTCGGAGGCTGACAAGCTTAAAAGAAAAATATTCATAAAACTGTGGCGAAGTTTCCTGGATGCTAAGAAAACCACGCAAACGAAACTGTTCCCAAAAAACATGACGAGCCCTACAACTGCGTAGAGTACCAAGAAAATCGCCTCCTGTGTTGTTTCGCAGTTATACTTAAAGCCACCCGTAAAAGGTTCGCTGCTGTTCTGGTTCAATGCAGCCATATGGATGTTTACATATGTTTCTTGTGAAGTCCACTGCGGGTTAACAGTATCTATGACGGTATGACAGCCATAAAATAGAAACACTGAATACGCCGATCTGTCTCAGCTATGGTGCGACAAGGCTAAAACCACCTTCCCGCCAGTGGCAACTCGTGCTGAAGTCAGGCACGAGTGAGAACATATGTTGGAGTTGTAATCTTCCGAAACATCAGGCGTAAGACGGGTAGTCTTCAAAAAGTTAATTAGCAGCCTAGTAACACCGTGAATAAAAGGTAGGTGTCTAAGCCAATGATATGATAGACACAGGGCCCTACACACTAGGCAAATTTTTGTTTATTTTGCGAACAAATCTGTCACCAGTTCCCTGAGACAACTGCGCCCGGCGATTTTTAGATCTACCAAATTTTGTCAAAGCTTAGGGCCTTTCCGCACTAGCAGACAAAACAGAATTGTTTCGACAAAATCAAAGGACAAATTTTGTCTTACCAAGTTTTTGTCTCCTCTGTTGCATCCGCACTAAAAATGTCGAAGCTGTTAAATCTGTCAAATTCGGTTAACGGCCAAAATTAACACCGATACTATTTTTCACTGTAATTTTAATCAATTTAGCTTTTCCTTCCCCTTTGCTTTGAGCGGGCACTTCTGAATCTTGTGCCACATCCGCTGCTTCGTTGTTAGACTGATAAAGTGGCGGCTGGAAAATCACTCCACCGTTTTATCTTGCCCCGGCTGCATCCAGCGCCTGACCTGCTCATATATTTGCTGATGGATTCAAACTCTAATTACCAGGATTCATCTTGTTTGAAGTTGTTTGAAGTTGTAAAATCTGCGAATCACGCAACGAAAGACAGTTACTGCAATCTTTTGGTAAACTAAACTCAGTTCAATCACCACACTGGTGGTGGCGTTCACGACAAAAGGTCGATAAGTTTATCACGGGTTTTTTTATTCAGTCGATTTTGCCAAGGTTCTTTGTCGGCGGTGCGTTCGAAAAATTGGCTCGAGTAAATTTGTCAAGTCGCGACAAACCATCCGCACTTGTAAAGTGTTGGTGATGACAGAAAATTTCTCTAAATAAACAATTTTGTCGCTAGTGCGGATAGGCTCTTACCAAACTTCTAAGATGCCGTCGTGCTGCCTCGGAGAATGATAAATTTTTTTCAGGCATGAAATCTGACAGATTTGTCAATTTACGCGCCATGATTTGAAGGAAAATGTCAATCTAGAAAATTTGATCTCTATTTTTACTCGGAGTGTTTCAGACATCAGTGAACGCTTCACGAGCAGTTGCTTTACCAACATTCATTGCAATGCCTGCATTTCCGAATGACCCACCATGTGCTAAGTGATTTAGTTTGATGGCCAAGACATTTTCTGGTGGGATGCTATTCCTCAACTGCGTGTCTTCACCGCTTTGTAGCTTATGACGAAGACTGGCCACCAGAGTGTCAAACGTGTCGCGCGACATTCTCATCTGGCGATAAAAGAATTCTTTGGGGATATTACGCCTATGAAAAATGAATTTCAAACCAAAAATTTTAAGGCTTAGGTAGGTTTCAGTAATAAAGATGAGGCCTTCGCCGCCCTCTACGGACAAATCTGTTGTAGTACTCTGGAACCAGTTGCAGTCGAACAAGGTGAAGCCTCCACTGGCATAATTAGAAGTAGCAACTGCCTCTGCTAGAGTTGAAAGAATGCAAGGAAGGAAAAAAAAAAACTAGAATACAAGCAATAATTCGCCGAGGCAACATATTCGATCGAAGAGGGTAAAGATTTACCATGAGCCCTAGACTCCTGAGATCACATGTAACCTTTCCCGCGAACAGCGCGCAAGCGATGGTGTTTATTTCCGTGTGATTGACACTTGTGGTTAGCAAATATTTTGCTGCGTCTCAATGCACCCACGCTTGACAAACTGAAAAGGCCATAACGATAATTCCTGAAAAACGAGTGGATTTTCGAGATAGATTACCGGCAGTCTTTGACCTTAGACATCACTTTGTTTATTCTTGTGTCTTATGTTTTTTTTCAACAGATCATCTGACCTAAGAACTGCATGTTGTTACTTGGCGTTGAAAGATGCGTACGTTATGTTTCAGGTATGTCGTAATAAAGGTACACAGTTTTACAAAGATGTGTTATGAATTATATTATTGAAGGCGACGGTTTTTTTCAATACTCTAAATTAAAAATACAGTTATATCGTAATAAACGTACACAGTTGGCAAAGATGTGTCATGAATTATATTATTGAAGGCGACGGTTTTTGTCAACACTCTAAATTAAAAATACAGTTATGTCGTAATAAACGTACACAGTTTTACAAAGATGTGTTATGAATTATATTATTGAAGGCGACGGTTTTTGTCAACACTCTAAATTAAAAATACAGTTATGTCGTAATAAACGTACACAGTTTTACAAAGATGCGTTATGAATTATATTATTGAAGGCGACGGTTTTTGTCAATACTCTAAATTAAAAATACAATTATGTCGTAATAAACGTACACAGTTTTACAAAGATGTGTTATGAATTATATTATTGAAGGCGACGGTTTTTGTCAATACTCTAAATTAAAAATACACGTTAGAAGATTGAAACTGTTAGAACATAGATTTTGGTGGGGCTAAAAAATAGTGACGTCCTTTATCCTTTCACAATTTGTTCAAAAATAAGTTAAGTACGTGCATGTTTTGAAAGATAAATACTAATAAACTGAAAGGAGGTCGAAAGTAGCAAATAAACACAAACGGTCAAGCTGGACGTGAAATAGTTTTTGTTCACCATTGTGAAACAGGAAAATTTCGAAGATATCACAATTCAACCGAAGCGGGGGATTGATATATTGATTTTGGAGAACCACAAGACGCTCAAAACCCATGTGGTTTCCGAATATGAACGTTTCACACGTAAGATTGATAATACTTACTCACTCCTTGCGCGTTCATGGTGGTTTTTGGCGATTTCTGCTGTTTTGGGCTTACTTTGCCATCGCTGCTATTCCTGTTTTAAGACGTCCTATAAGGAGTTATAATTTTTATTCCGAGCTTCCTTGACTCTTGACGAGTGTTACAAATCTGCGAGCCAGCGAGCCATGCCAGTCATGCGAGCCACAGTCAAAATGTTTAAGAATTTTTATTTGTTACATTTATATTCGCATGAGAACAACAACAAGAGCAACGGAACAAGATAACTCTGAAGCTGTTAAAATTACACAATTTACTCACCATTCTTGACGCCAATACACAGAGTTGGCCTGGAAGTACTGTTCTCTTTTCTCTTGAATGATTTTCCACGTGGATATCAATGAATGACAGGAGTCAATGGATTACCACTCAACAACCCATTCGATTAGTGGAAGGGGTTGGAGCCGTACGTTTTCCTCAGAAAACTTTTTACTAAGTCTTGAACCTTAATTAATTTTTGTCGCATTGTTTTTATTTTTTGCGAATCCTGAGCGATTTGAATAAATAAAAAGATTTTTTTCTGGGCATATTTCAAATTTTAAGCACTTTTGTAGCTAAATTTAAAATTAATTTCCCAGGGAAAGAGAGAGTACCCTGCGAGGGAGGTTGTACCGTTTACACTCATCCCCAGGATCATCTCCGCTTTCAAGATGGCGGGCG